TCGATATCCGCGGCGCTCTGTAATCGTCGTGGGAAAGTTCTTTCTGCGTTCGGCTGGGACGCGAGCGTTCTTTCGCAACTCGAGGCTTATCATCAACATGGCGTCCCGCGAGCTGAGAATCTGTCAACCATTTTCAACTGAACTTCGGTAGAGATGCAGGGCAGTGGATGTAAAGTATGCGCGAAATTCGGAAATCTGATGACTGGCCGTTTTGGGGGAAATTCTGGGGTATCTAGAGAATTGTTAAATAGTTGGTGATCATTATTTCGTATTATTACATGGAACATTTGGGAATTTGATCGTTTGAAACTCCGAAAATTTGAGGATCTGAAAGATTGGAAGTTTAGAAGTTCGATAACGTTACATCGCAACGTTTAAACAGCCGGAATTATAATAAACAGACCAGTAAAGGAGTAACGAACGAGTAACAGCTATTAAACACAAATAATTCCGCGATATTACGTAAGATCCATATTAACATCCTCGCAGAACCAGGATTAAAACATTTCAATAACCGCGCGATATTTCATTGAGAGCAGTTAATAAACTTGCTCCGATTAACAACGAGACTACGGAACATTATGCTCAAACTATTAAACAGAAGTTTCCGTAATTTCAGTTACCAGTTCCGCTCCGGCCGCAATCTACACCCGCCATCTTGGAACTCGCGATGACGCCCGACAAGATGGCGTCCGACCTAACCTGAATATCTGTTATAGAGAAACTTCAGGGAAAGAGGATAGAATCTTTGAAAAATAAGGGGAAAGCGGCACGCGATTCGAAAAAAGGATCATTCTGACTTCGTTTCCGGCCGGTCAGCACCGGAAATCGACCTCGCATCGCGGGAAAATCCCGACTCGAATTCAGTCAGCCATGAACTGCTGCTTCGACGGTTCTATTTCGATCTCCTCTACGCCGAGGCTCGTGTGGCGGCCGGGAAATGAGGAGAAGGGCGGGAAGGGGTGGCAGGGATGAAAGTTCCTGCGGGATTATCCAATCCTCGTAATTAAGCCGATAACCGGGCTAATTAAAAATTGGAGTGCAATTATCAGACGCTTCAGAAAACGATGTGGGGCGATTATTTTCGGCGGGTAAATAAATTTTTTACACCGTTCGCGAACTGTTTCCCGGTAGAACGGTCGTTGTTCAGATTCGAACGGCCGATTTTTTTCTTTCTCACCGTGCCCCCTCGACGAATGGTCGAAAACTGATAACAGCGTTGACGCTTAATGAAAACCGAATCGTTAATGAGACGTTAATGAGATGCATTCTTATGCAAATTTTCCCTTGTCGCGTTACCTTTGAATGGTACGTTTTTTCAAGTTCTCCGCGCAGTGTATTGTTTCTATAATGAAATACCGAAAGAATGGATATCGCGCGAATGTCTGGCAATATTGACATTCGATTGGTTCGTTAGCGAGAAAAATATTTGAATTAATGAGATTTGCTTTGATTAAAGTCTTCATGCGGGATTTCTGTGTATATCGGAGAACATGTTGAATATTTTACAATTGTTGAATAAAATGAGAACTTTTAATAACAGGATATTTCCTCTTCTTTAAATAAAGCTCGGAAAATGTTGTTTACGGAGATTTTAAACTGCAACTTTTTCGCTCTCTGCATTAATGCTCCCTTTACGATGAAACTTTGAATTTCTGCTGGTAAATTGAAGAATAATTATCTTCATAACGTGTATTGTACCGTTGAGAATGAACGTAATTAAATATCGCATTCTTAATGGATTCTCTTTGAATGATAACTGCAAAAATGATTATTAAATTACATCGTTTGAAGTGGACCTGTTGCTTCGAAATCACGATTGCAGTTGAAACATCGATGAAAAAACGCTTGGTAACTTATTATTGACTTCGGGAAATTCTCAAGCAACCGTCAGTAAATAGAATGCTAATTTTAGTGTCTGCTGTTGACCCTTTGCGGAGGAATCGACATTTTGGCGAGGTCAAATTCTCGTATTTCGAGGACTAATATAATATAATTATATAATACTCTTCTTAACTCTTAACACTCCACATATTTTTGATATGTCAGCAATTCCTACCAATTTTGACAGTAGCCTTACTGAAAATTAACAATGTTATAACATTCCTTCGACCTTTAATTCCCTTCTCAGCACAAACTTTGTATATTTGGAAGATCTAATAATCTTAAGGTAGTTTCCTTAAAATTCATTAAAATATCTAATATTAGAACTGGTGCAATATTTGAACCTCAGAGTTCAAAAGGTTAATAAATTCTGCAAACGGTTAAACAGCTGTTTAGCAGTAATTCAAACAAAATGGCTGAACAACCAGCAGTGAATGAAACATTAATATTAGTATCTGCTACATGTGAATAACAAGTTCCTCGTGTTCTCTAGTAGTACAACCTGTGAACTGTATCTATAAACGTCGACGGAAAGTCACGTGTCTCGAATAACCATTCGGTAGGGACAAGTAACGTTTCACGTGCGGAAATCCGACGGGCCACGTGGTCGTTCACGTGTATCGATTAATCGACATGAATTTCGAAACAGCTCTATATATGTTTTTCCAGTGGTGTCTAGATCATTTTTGGAGCTCCTATTTCAGAATAAATATTTTAACACCAGAACTACCGAGCATTTAATACGATTAATATGCAATTCCTACAAAAATTGTAACAATAAATTTTCAGTTTCTTCAGGCATTCATTACAGTACTCAAATGAAACTATTCATTTTCAAAATCATTTCGAATATTCAGTGCTTCGAAGATATCGATAATTGCTAAACAAAAAAATCGAAACCAATCATTCTGACTGGTACGGTAGTTCTAGTGTTAAAAACTTTTCGTGAAACGAAATGAAATGGTAGTGAAAAATGAGTAGCATCTCTTCTTTACGCGTACTTCTTTGGAAATAAATAATAAATAATAATAACAACGAATGATTGAACAGATGAATTTGACTATGAACTTTGAAGTGTACAAAACCTTCAACGGATGAAGCTAAATTATATATCAATTGCTTAATTAATAGGAAAAGAGAAAAGAGAAACTACGCGTTGATCTCTTGCTGTTCGAGTAATTAAATCATTTGTTCGCGATCTAGTCTTCCAAATATGGACATCTCATTTCGCCGAAATGGTTTCTTTTGTGGTAATCCTGCATATAAATGTGTGATTATTGATTACATTAACGAAAGTTCCCTTAAAATCATCCTGTCGACGACAAATTCTAAAAACGATGCCGGGAACTTTCGAACGCTACTGTATGTGTGTGTGTGTGAGTCGGTTGGGAAGATCGATAAATTCATTATCGCGAGAGCAATTCCTCGGGAATAAAGTTAACCCTTTCAGTACTAAGGTCAACAATAGGTCGGCCACAACAATGTCATCGTTACGTGCCAGCGACGAGCATGATTTCGATGTGCACGATATTCGGTTCTGCTGAGCAGCAGGATTAATTATTTGAAGATATAATAAACCTAGATTTCACGTAGTACAATATTAAAGTCACTGTTTATTAATCAAATAAGAACATTCAGAAAGGAATTATATTTAACGAGATAATATGAACTATAAAGCTTGCTTAGATCTTTTTTGTCGCGGGGTTAATTATTTGAATATACAATCAACCTAAATTGCACGTGATAAAATATTCAAGTCAAGATTTAAATGTACAATAAACTTAGATTTCGCATAATAAAATGTTAAAGTCATTATTTATCAATAAAATAAAAGTATTAAGAAAGGTATTATAATTAGAGATCAAATGAACTGTAAAGCGTGATGCGTAGATTTTCTTTGCTGCGAGATTAATTATTAAATATATAATAAACCTATACTTCACGTAATAAAATATTAAAATCACTATTTACTAATGAAACAAAAATATTAAGAAAAGAACTATAATTAGAGATAAAATGAACTGTAAAGCGTGATGCTTAGATCGTCTTTGTTACAGGATTAATTATTTAAATATAATATACAGTCTTAGTTATAATGACCGCTATAACGACGTTACGATACGGTATTTAATTATGGAAATTTAGGAATGGAAACGAAGAAGTCTAAGGATCGCAGCTAAGATCCAACGTAAGCACTGGATTTAAGACAGACGTATATTAAGAGATCGCTTCCAGTTGGATTAGATCAAATAAGTATTATATTGCTGAGTCTAAGTTAAGTCTAGGATAGATCCAAAAATCCTAATAAGCGCCCACGTTAATTTACCCGATTTTTTAATTCCGATCGTTAACAATCCGCTTTAGACGATCTCATCCGAGACTCCCCGAACAACCCTAAACAACACGAGAAGTCCTCTAATGCAAGGAATCAACGTCCTCCAGACACCGGAATCATTAACCTTCGCACTCCTATATTAAATATAACATTTTTAACACTAAAACTACAAGGCAACCCGAAATCACAGAGGTTAAACTCTCAGATACTCTCAGAGTTTTTATCTAGAAGTCCCAAAAAGTCAATTCAACTGCTAGTTTCATCACTAAACACTATTACGTTAATATACAATTTCCAATAGCAAAAAGAATCGTTCAATCATCAACTAATCACCTCGAAAACACAGTCCAACCAACAAAAATCATCGAAAAGAAACCGTAACGCCTCGAAACGCAGCAAACTCCCCTAACCACCCGAACAACCATCATCTCCAGCGATCATACCAACACGAATCCTTAAAAAAAAAGAAATCCGCATAATTCCTGGTAGCCTCCTCCCGGCCTGTCGAGGGTAGGAGAGGTCGCGGCGGTAGCGCGCAGCGTATTTCCCCCAATTTCGTTAGCGCCTGCCGCGCGCACACCCTCGCAGGGCATCGCGGAACACGCGGAGAGGCGCGCTCGTACCGATACGAAAGGAGGTAGCCAGCGGTGAGGCAACGCGTCGAACAGAGGCGGCCCGCGGCGCACGGCCAGGGAGCGAGACGGAGGATTTTGCAGCGATCATCGACTTGGAGGACGGCGCAGTCGCCCAGGAACCGACTCTCGCCATCGTTCCATCCCGTTCCATCGCTGGCCGCCCCTGTTTCCCGTCCCGTTCGCCGCTGCTGTGCTCCCGGCAGCTCCTCCGCCCCTCCCGCAAGCTTCACCAGCCCCTCACCGCCCCACCGGGGAACTTCTCCACCGCCACGAGCGACGTAGGCAGTGGTAGCAGCAGCAGCACCAGCAGCAGCACCAGCAGCAGCAGCAGCAGTAGCAACAAACCGGCTCCTGTGCGATCCCGCTGGCGCGCCGCAGTGAAACCAGTTAGCTACCCTCTTCTAGGCTAGCTAGCTGCTTTATAGATTTTCGATTAACCGCGGGACCATCAGTGAACAATGGTGCCGGGATCGTTGCACCCTGTCGGCGTGCTCTGAGACCTCAGCAGTCTGAACGGGCTAAGTGAAGTTGCTTAGGGGACAGAGGCTGGAAAGGAAGAGTGTCCAGGTGTCCGGGACTAGAGGACACGGTGTTCGAGATTGATCGATCCGGGGGGGCGAGGGGAGCCTGTGCGTGAACCGAGTGACACCGGAAACGGGTAGCGCATCCGCTGGCTGGAGTCAAGGGGACATGATGGTCGGGCAGTGAGGGCTGGCGCTGACGAGGGAGCCAAGCGAGAGGGAGGGTGTTTCGTCCATGGTGGATGGCGGAGGGATCATCGGAGAGGATGACGCAGCACCGGGTCACACGCAGGACACTGCTGTCCGGGCTGGCGGCGATGCACTTGCTCATGCTGCACTCAGGTAGGCCGAGCTTGGGGCTGAGTCTGAGCGGGAACCGATTATGTCAGAGGGGGTGGCGGAGGAGAGTTCGGGGGAGAGGTTTGAGGATCGTTGTCTGGAACGGTGGGTCTATCGAGTGGCCGTTGGAGGAGAGGGACTACCCTTGCCAGGTTGGGCGCTGTGCTTCGATGGGTAGATGGTGCTCGTGAGTTACAGGATTTGCTTCTATCGTGGGACCGTATGGGGAGTTTTCTTGGGGAACGTGGCTCTGTTGATGGAGATCGGCCTGGATGAGTTTAGGGTTGATGGAATTCTCGAGTGAACAGTGGTGTGAATTTTCTTTGGTTTCGAGTGAGGCTTTAGGTGATATCGATGAACTTTGGATTGTAATTTTGATGGTGGTTTTTATGTATTTTATACGGGAATTCGGTATCTTAGTAGTAGCTCAAACTCGAACTCAAACACTCCCCTAGGCTATAGTCTTAGTAGCTCATAGTGCAGTTTAAGAACTGCCTGGGGCTCTGCTCCAGGCACTAGATGCTAATTAAGATATCAGATTAGAAGTTAAACACTCTCTTAGGATGCATTATGGTGACTCATATTGTTGTTTGAGGTGCGCCTCAAACTTCCTTGGAGATTGTTTTAGATTATAATGTAGACATTAGCCTAGATTCTAGTATAGTAAGACCTCGTTGGTCTAATACTAGCTCAAGTGATCTTCAATGGTAACTCGAATTATCTAACTCCACGTGAAAACAGAATCCACTGTCTAAAACAATTGTAATTATGAAAGTGCTCTAAATCATATATTTCTGTTTGTTTGAATTCAGTTTAAAATAATGTGATGTGAAATAATTGATAAAATCATTCTTTCTTCACCACGTGATTTGATGCAGTAAAACTGTAAAATTTGATATTTAACATTGAACTGTACAATACATCGGTGCTTGAAATATTCGAAGCTTTGTTTCTCAATTCACTTGTGATTGCTCTTTAAGTTCATTTCAAAAAAACATCGTCTTGGTCTAGTTAGAAAATATTAAATATTTCTAGGAAAATACTTCTGACTGCAAAGACTTAAATACTGACCTACACCACTTTCATAATTATGAACACAATTGTCTCTTATAAATCTATTCTTCTAATTCCCTGAGAATCTTAATGTTGTCTTGATTAGGTCAATGGTTAAATATTTAAATACTGACCTACACCACTTTCATAATTATGATCACAATTGTCTCCTACAAATCTATTCTTCTAATTCCCTAAGAATTAATGTTAGCTCCCAGACGATTTTCCTGTTACCCAGCAGGCGAAAGACATTTGAATGCCAGGAATCTGCATGATCGACCGAACAAAAGGCAAGGAGTACCAGCGGGCAAACTGAATCCTAGACCATTCTCTGCCGCCTATCTCTAATCGTGTCGTCCCCGTCGATTAAGCTGTTGCCAGTCAGCACAAATAAACAATTAACGGATCTTGATGATCTTCGAGGAACCGAGTACTGCTCGGTCGGTCTGTGATATCCCGTCAGGACGATAAACGAGCGATAATACGTCCGCGAAGCGTCGCGGCGCATTGTTTGAGTGTTCGAGCCGATACCGAACTAATACGACCCGCTCGAAACGGACAATTGCCTGGTATTCCGACGTCCATCTGAACATTGTCGTGTGATTTCCTTAACCGTTTTCACTCTAGAGACGTCTATTATCAGTTGCCAACTGATTTGACACAGCAGAATTGTAACGTTTGACATTTAACCCTCTGTAGGCCCATGTAACTTTAAAGTCACGTATTAATATAGTGTCTCACTGTTAAGTAGATTTAACAGAAACAATTGCAAGATTAAAATCTGTATGAATTTATTATTTTGTGTTTATCCAATATTCATAATTGAATTTCCACTTTAGTTAATGAAATCTATTTGGACCTGGCAATCGTTCTATAGTATTCTTGGAGTGATCAAAGTTAAATTAGATTGGATTGAATGTATATGTTGTTTGTATTATTGAAATTTCAATCGGTTTTAATTAATTTATTTGTAATATTTACTAGCTTTACTAGTTTACTGGAAAGAAGGCGACATGACTTTTTAGCTAGGTTAATAATAATCAGTAATAATCTAGGAAAGTTGATACAGAAGAGATAATCACGAATAATTATGTAGAAATTAGTTCGGCGAGGTAAAGTAACTAATTTGATTGAGAGTCACTGATAATTTCACGGGCGAAATCGAAAAATCAAGCGTCAATCATCGTTAATTACCACGGCAGTTAACGCGTTAATGAGATCAACGGCAACCATGTATCATTCCGCGAATTTCCGCCATCATTGCCGATAATTCTGATCTTCAAGAGGAATTTTCTATACGATAAAAATCGTTATTAATATTATGATACCGTTATCGAGCTTAAAAACAGAATCGGGTTTAGCAACAAATTATTTTCTCGACCGATTAAATTTCCCCCGCGATATTTCAATTTTCGAAACGATTTCCCGAAATGATTGAATTTTCGAAACGATTTTCTCCATTATCTAAATTCTCTGCACAATGTTTTCATATTATGAAAGTACATTGCTGTGATGTTCGACAAGATAACAATGACGAGCGAAAAAATGAAAATATAAGAGAAGAAAGAAAAAGAGAGAAGGTAACCTTTGCCAAGGAAACTTTCCTTGGCGAGAGCCAAGCAACCGCGAAAAGAATGAAATAGAACTTAAAAGAAAATGCAATAAATAATATACGAAATATAGAGAAACTAAAGAAAATATAATGAAATCCTGCTTGACAGAAAATAAAGAAGGAAACCTTAGTCAAAGTGAAGTTTTTTCGGCCAAAATCGAGCAACAAAAAGGATAAACGATAAAATACAAGAAAATATAATGCATCCAACATAAAACATGAGGAAATTAAAATAAATCTAAGAAAATCCTACGTGACAACGATAGAAAGTAAAAGAAAAGGGAAACCTTCGTCAAAATGAATTTTTTTTGGCGAAAATCAAGCAACCAAAAGGAAAAATAATAAAATACAAGAAAATATATTAATCTAACATAAAACATAAGGAAATTAAAAAAAATCTAAGAAAATCCTACGTGGCAACGATAGAAAGTAAAAGAAAAGGGAAACCTTCGTCAAAGTGAAGGTTTCTCGGCGAAAATCGAGCAACCAAAAGGAAAAAAGGATAAAATACACGAAAATATAATAAATGTAATACAGAACACAGGGAAATGAAAATAAATCTAAGAAAATTTCACGCGATGACAGGTGAGAGAATGGAAGAGGAAACAGGAAACCTTAGCCAAGGGGAAGTTTCCGTTCCGAACGTTCCCGTGGCGGGAAACGCGAGAGAATGGTCGGGTAATACGGTAAGCAACGGACATTTAGATAGGATAGGTTTGTCGGTGGGGTAGAAATAGGATTCCTGGGGCGCGGAAGTCCTCGAGGATCTCCCCGTAAAAGGAGTCGATCTCAATTACACCGTTTCGTCTGAGATTCCTGGTCAATATCCAAACACAATGCCCACGGTATCAAAAGTTTCTGATCGATAGAGACGGCCTGACCAATGGAGTTTAATCTCTTAGCACGTTCACGACAGGATCTTCAACCCTTAGCAGTCTCGAGTCAGACTTGACATTCTATTTTATTGTAACCTCTATCTGTTTTAACAATTTTTTCTATATTTGTTTGTAGTATCACAATTGTACCATTTAACCCCTTGCCCTATGATTTATTTCTCAACTGTGATCGATACAATTACTTCGGCATTAACAATTCATTAAAAAACGAGAAAAATTCTGTGCATATTCTAAGCCTATGTGTTCCCTACAATATAATAATTGATTACAGAAGAATAATATTTACTTTGAATTCGAATAGTGTTAGTTTCGAATAGTAATGTAGTGAGTAATAAGATAATACTGATTAAGTATTAATTGGAAATTTGGGAGGAAAACGTATATTATTATTATAATATAAACTGTATAAAATAATAATAAAGTAGATAATGAGAAATTTAGGTAACTATAAGAATAACTCATTATTATTTACTTAGATCTATCAGATTAGATTATTTAAACAATAATAAGGAATTATTCTGATAGTTACTTAAATTCATTATTATTATTATTATTATATAAACTACATGAAATAATAATAAATTTAGGTAACTATGAGAATAAATCAGTATTATTCACTCAGATTTATCAAATTAAATGATTTAAACAGTAATAAGGAATTACTGTTATTATGACGAATGTACAATTGAAATATATCATACATATCATTATGCTAGCGATAAACGTGTTATCCACGCTAACGATGGAAACGAGTTAAATTAAAGTGTCGCTCCGCTTTGGTCCAACCGGGGTAGGATGTCAGCGAGGAATCGCCGGTTTTATTGGAAATTGAGCCAATTAGAGTGCTCGAGCTAACGACTTATCGTAATACGGTTTCGCGGGACTGTCCCCTTTTTTAACCGAACGTGACATCACGACTCGAGCACCGTGCCTCCCCGGACGCACGCTTCTACGCTCGCTACATGTTTCCTTCATTGGGAATGATCCTCTCGAAGCAGTTAACCTGGCGGTCGCGTGTCACGGCCCCGCTTTCGCAGGGGGAAAAAATCGTCTGCGAGCGGATCGTTTGTCACTGTCCGGAGAAAACATCATTAAGCTGA